CAGCAAATTACTCACCTTTGTGAGGACTTTTCAGAATTCTATGAGACAGTATATTCTATTTAGAAGACAGTCAGTCCTGTCATATCAGTACGATCCCTACTGTGTATACAACTCCAAGTCTAAAATAAATTACCAGGCGTCAAGCAAGGAAACCGGTTTGTCTTCATTTCTTAGCTATATTACTTTACTTATATTATGTGAACCAATTGTTATGCAAATTGTTGACTGGGCTTTGGAACACAAAAAGCGAAGTCACTTTGACATTGGCTTTAAACATCGCCTGACTGTTGGGAGGTGACCCTTTCATCCGGGTTTCTGAATTCTATTTGTATACGGGACTCACCTATGCATAAGGCCAGCGGCCTTTTCTCCTAAAATTGTCTACTGGAAATAAGAGGTACGCGCAAACCGTCCCTCATATTCCGTTCTCTCCAGGGCACACTCAGAGTGGCAGCCGCACGCTTGTCTCTGCTTGTGACAGACGTGTCTAGATCGCCAGCACGCTGAACGTTTCACTTGCAAAATCAGCCGGCAGCAGCCAGAATAAAGGCCTTCCAGGTTCGTGGCTTTGCAAACTGAGTTTCTACTCCATAGAGGATTTATCGTGACCGCAAGGGCCACCACGGGCACAGCACTGGAGGGGTGAGAAGCAGCACACTTTGCAGAGAGCTACACCGGGGGAAGGGGCAGGTGAAGACGTCTGACGGAGCGTTCGCTCAGCGGAGGCGCTTCAGTGTTTTTGATGTGCTTTTGTGACGAAATGCACGAAGCACTTCATCAGCGCTTGTCCATACTGGGGACTCCGCGGATAGGAGGAGCATTTCAGGGGCTCCACTCAGATTGACATGACTGGCTATTGAGTATAATTTTCTATTATTCTGGGTTGTAAATTCGTTCATTAGGAGAGCTTACATTTTGTTCAACTCTGCAGGTTTTTGCACCTAAAAGAAGTATTAGTAAATGAAAGCATTCTACATTGTGAGCCTAAAGAGGGACTTCGTCTGATGCTCTGTTTTATGTTGGGCATCTAGCGTATTATCTGGCACAAAGACATAGTCGCTAGGTCATATAAGCAGAAGAACCAGTAGTATACACTCAGTTCCTAGCCGAAGAACCTGAGGATAGGACATCTGAATAATCTGTCTAATGTCAGAGTTTTTAGGAGTGCAGACAATTCTGGAGTGTGAATCTCTACATTGCATTTGATCATTTTTCCCCTTTGTTTTTGTCTCAGTAAGTCAGGTTAGGCATTGTTATGTTGTGATTTACAAGTTAAGACATGCCTCTAGAAGAGAAAAACCAACTGGAGATTTTCAATGTCAGATCTGCAGATGAATTCGCTGCTGTGAAGCAGAGCCCGGGACCCACGCTTCCACGGGCTTCCTTCTAACAGGGAGCGGCTGGAAAGTGCGTGAACATTTGATTACTAGTAAGTGGGGCCACCACATTGTCCAAAATGGAAGGGAAGTGAAGTGCTAACTTGGGCTTTGCTAAATGAAAACTCTTAATGTTTTCCACAGAGATTATACTAATTGCATCCTTACAGGACTTTAATATCTGTTTTTCTCCAACAATCTCAAGATACTTTGGCTTATAGATCTTATGCTTTAGAAGGAAACTTTATTACCTCATTAATGTTCCTTAATGTGGACTTACTTCACTAATCTAGAGTATGCTGGATTTATAATGCATGCACTGACTGACTGATTACTCATCCTTGAAGAAATAATTTGATATAGAAATTATAAAAGCAAGCATTATCAAAGGTAGAACACCGCCATGCATAAAAATTAACACTGATACATGTTTTTCAAGTCCTGGCAATCCCTCTTCCAGCTATGAGCAGTTGTTTTTATTTAGTTAGCAACGCCTGGAGGCTGGCTTACAAGTGGTGGCGCGCGTGTAAAGCGCATGACCTGCTGCCAAGAACAGTGCGCGTCAGCAATTCGTAGATTCCTTCAAATCACCATAAGAGCAAACAACAAACAAAAAACCATTTCAATCATAAACCCTAGAGTTGGTTTAAATTGTTTTGACTGTAATGTTACCTATATAAATACAACACTAGGCAAATATTTCTTATCCATGTAGTGCTTGCATGGCTAAACATAATGTTATAAATAAAATAATAATAAATCAGAAAAGATATCCTAACACATTTACTCTGATGGATAATGGTATGTTGAGACGAGGCAAATGGGTACATAAGTAGAGATGTGCTGTACCACCATCTTTTATTGAGTACAGCCACGCACTACATGGCTGAACCCATTTTCTAGCATTTTCTCCATTTCAGTATGATGAAAATTTTGTACAGTATTTATTATGATGTCATTTATCCTTCATTTGGTATGAATCTGTCACTTGCTTCCTGTAAATAAGGACTATTAGATGTCACAGCTCACAGTACAGCATGTTCTACCTACAAGAGCAGATCCAGATCGGCAGATGGAGCACTGAGATGACTGTAAACGTGTAAAGCATGTGTACGGGAAGCTTGCAAGTTGTCACCAACACAGGACACACAGCCAAGTCTCACTGGCGTCAAGCTTGGCCCCGGAGGTGGACTGCAGAGCTCACTCAGGGAAGCCTTGCTCCATAGCCTCCCGCTTAGCGGGAGGTCCTTTCATCCACTCTGCAATGGCATTTCTTGTATTACGCTGGACATGTGAGACTCAGTCAAATCATAATGCAAGTTAAAATGTGTTATTTTTATTTTTTGTACTTTTAAGATGATTATTTCTTCTTTGTAATTTAAACTCAGTACTCTCGACCTCTTTTCTTATAAATTAATACAATTTAACTGTTTTACATATATAGGCATGGTCACAAATGTCATGAGAACATAATTAATCTTGTTGAACATTAACTACCTGCTAAACCATGGTTTTTATTCAGATAGAATTTAATAATTTAGACTTAGTTCTTGAATGAAGGAGAAACAAATACTATGAATGACAAGATTAATCTCTGCTCATATTATGCTTTCAAAGTCAGTATTTTCTTCCTGGTTGGATTAAGTCATGCACCATGGCTAAGAGTGATTCCTTTAAAAATAATTATTCAAATGTTCAAATAATTATTTTAATGAGGAACTTATAAATACAATAAATTAGTTGAAAGGGATAAAGTTTACTTTCATTAAATAAAATGCACGCTTAAGACAGTTAACAGTTAATGTAAGAATGAATATATAAGTAAATTATCAATGTTAGCTATACTTTACCAATGTTATCCTTGAAGAAATAATTTGATATAGAAATTATAAAAGCAAGCATTATAGATGCTTGCTATATAAGATAAAATATAGCTACAGCACTGACTTTGAATTTCTTGTAGGTTATATATAGATAACTAAGGGTCAATATATATATACATATATGTATATGCATGTATATGGCTGAAGACAAAAATGCTAATACAGTTCAAAAGGATTTAAAATATATAGTTGTTAATAATATGGGAATAAATCATTTAAAATGAAAGATATGAAGGAGAATAAGAGGTATTTGGTAAAAACATCAATCTTCATCATAAATAATTTAGCATAAAAGCCAAATAATGGCATAGTTTTAAACTCATATGCAAGAATGACACCCATATTGATCTCACCTCTCAATGTTTTCCTTTCTTTTTTTTTTTTTTTTTTTTTTTTTTTTTTTTTGCGGAACTGGGGATTGAACTCAGACCCTTGTGCTTGCCAGGGAAGCACTGATTCCACTGAGCCATATCCCTGGCCCTGATGTTTTCCTTTCTTAATTTGATTTTGTTTTTCTACAGCTACAAAACATCAGTGTTGCTATTTTTAACTGTCTGAATCCAAATGGTGGTGTTAGATTTTCTGCAGCAACTAGAGCAGGGCCACTAAGGCTGGTGGTTATTATTTCTTTTCTTATCTGTACTTTATAATGAAGCAGAATAAGCCATGTTGGTGTGGTGCAGAGCTGAAGTTCTGGAGTCAAAGCATGTGCACCCTCGCTGCTGTCTGACTACTGGGTGCCGCTGGACTACTCGAACTATCAGTGGCCCACAATCCAGAGCAGGGACAACAAGCATGCTCCATTGTGCTGTTACAGAACTGGATTGAGCCCACATATTACGAAGCACAGAGCTTTGTGTACAGCAAGTAAAGTGCAGGATCCTTCTTACTTATCTTTGATCCTCATTCCTCCCTTAGGAGTCCCTCTGTGTATGGACACGCTTCGATGGTTTTACTGTCATCGTGATGGAAGGCTTTCTAAGACTACAGTTTCAGAACACTGTGCTCAAGACTGGCGACATGAGCACGATGATCCGACGCAAGGAACGCGCTCCCAGAACGGTGGTCGTTTCTTTCATACCGCTAACATCCACAATATAAAGGCGTTCTGATCTTTAAATCTGAATGTAAGATTCACTTGTTTTCTGTCCTCTCCGGTAAAATTTCAAAATGGTTTAAATGTGGAGAAAAAGATAAAAGCTCATCTCAAAAATAAATTTGTTCCAAAGACAGACAGAAACCAAGGGCTGGGGAGATAGCTTAGTGGAATAAGCACTTGCCTGGCAAGCACAAGGTCCTGAGTTCAATCCCCAGAACCGCAAAAAGAAAGAAAGAAAGAAAGAAAGAAAGAAAGAAAGAAAGAAAGAAAGAAAGAAAGAAAGAAAGAAAGAAAGAAAGAAGTGAATTTCAACTTCAACAAAGACGAACTTCTTATAATACAAGTTGATGAAAGTTGAGGAATAGGAACGCTGAATCATTATTCCATTCACGTGTTTATACCTTTCACATAAAACATGTTTCAGACATTCAAAATGTTACCATGTGACACGTGTATTTGCATGAACATGAAAATGCAATTTAGTTGTGCAGAAAAAGGTGTACAGTGTGATTTCTCACCTGTGGACATACAAACTCCTAAAAACAACTATGGAGGAGAAATCAGATTGTTTTAGTATAAATATTTAAAAACTTTCAATCAAATGTTGAAAAGGCAACTGTGAAGAAAACATAAACTACTTACAACCATCCTGTTCAGAGAAACCCAGCAGTCTGGCGGAAAGTCCTGCAGCAGCGGCACCAGGAACTGCAGACAGCCGTCCCAGTGACAGAGGAGCAGCATCATGCCGATGAGGTTAAAGATCCTCACCACGGCGCTGGCGAGGTCATAGGTCATGTGGAATATCTGTTGACAAAAGCACAGAGTCAACGCTGAGAGCTCTAACTTAGCAGGAAAAGCAGGGCATACTGCTAGTAGGACTGGTGTTTCAAACTGTAAGACATTAATTTTAAAAAACATAAAGAGAACTTTCAGATATGGAAACAGAGTGTGCCTCTACTTCTTCAGTAAGGTTGGACTTTATATATTTTACGAGCAATTGTAACTTTTTCACGAGAAACATAACAAAATATAAGCTTTAAATGACATTAATTTGACAGGTAGTTTTATTTACTGCATTTCAGATATTTTAACAAGTCTAATTTTTTAAAAAAGAGGATGAGGTTGACAAACATTACATAATCTCTTTTCTGCTTCTCACCCTTTATTAACAGATTTTTCCAAAGACAAAAAAAAAAAAAAAAAAAAAAAAAAAAAAAACTCCAAGGGTCTGGGGCACGCTGAGACAGCAACTGAGACTGGGCGTGGTGGAGCGCGCCTGTAGTCCTAGCGCTTGGGAGGCTGGCAATAGGCAGATCACTACGAGTCCCATCTAGCAGTGAGATTCTGAACACTCTGTCGGCCCTTCCCTAAAAAATACGGAAAAAAAATTCCAAGTGTATCTGAAAAGTATAAGCAAAATATATTGCAAAATGTCAGTAAGAGTGAACACAAATGGCAGTTAACATGATAGCTGTTTAATGCAATAACCTCTTTAATTGTGTATACTGAATGCACATAGTGACCTTTAAGATGGCAGCTTACTAGAGCTACTCATGAAACAATCATGATACTTTGAAAGGTTATAATTATCTATATCAAAGTTTTATATTTTTACAATATAGGCTTCCATTTCCTGTTTTACTTTCTTATTTATATTTTCATAAAAACTAACATGCTAGGTGAGATTATTTCAGAAGGTACAGAAATGATGAGAACTTCTCCATTGACCATCCAGCAGAGAAGTGTGGGAACAGAGTGTAGAGGGTGAAGCCATATTACTATGCTGAGCTGTAAAAGGCTTAAGTCGACAGCTTTTTTTTTTTTTTTTTTTTCGGAACAGAGGATTGAACTCAGACCCTGGCGCTTCCCAGGCAAGTGTTTATTCTGCTAAGTCATCGCTCCATCCAAGTCAAAAACTTCTGTCATCACTAATCTTACAGAACACCCACTACTATTATGGACTACTGGACTACATTGGAATATTTTGCTGAATTCATGCACCTACAATATTTAAATGACAATGGAATACTCTTCTCCGACAAAATTCAACAAAAAAAGGGGGATACAAATGAACGACCATTTTGTATCTGTAGGTTCGAAACAGTTAAGATAGATACACAGCTGCATTCTCTTGGATCATTGAATAGAGAGATTTGTTCTAATAGTGTTTGTAGGCAGAATATTATGCCTGCATCTTGTCCAGTGAATAACCACTAAGACAACAACATGCAATGTATTAAGTCGTGAGACTGTGATAGTAATAGGTTTTGAAATATGTCATTGTATTTGTTTCTCAGTAAAATTATAAAAAAAATTTAAAAGTAGAGGACAGAACTATAGCTCCGTGCTGTGAGCGCCTGCCTGGCAAGCACGAAGCCCAGCCTTACATATAGAATTAGTCATTATTTCACTTATAAGAAACAGACTCAGAACATGCCTCTTCCTCCTCTTCTTGGCCGTTTATAGGTCTAGCCTACTGCTCATGTTTTGCCTGGGCTACAGCGACCAAACGCACTGGAGAAAATCTACACTCGACAACAAAGGTTTTTTGTTTTTTTTTTTTAAATAGTTTTTACCAAATTTTTGTTTAAAGTTTTCACTGTGCCTATAAGCATTATGTTAATAAATATATTTAGTAAATATGTTTAAATTCACATATACTATAAGACATTTAAAATACTGTATAATTCACTAAACAAATGGTAGGTACCTTCAATTGTAAGGACAACATTGTTGAAACTATCTAGAAAATGAAAAAGCTATATTTATGTTTTGGCTTAGAAAATAAGAGAATTTCAGTAATTGTAAAAATATGTAACAATGATAGGACACTGTGGGTTTACTTTTGTAAAATCACCGTATTTGTCTTCAATTAAGTGTTCTTCAATTTGATACATCTGTAGAATCAATGTTTTTCATTACAAATCTTTCTTTTGGCATGATTGTAGTGAACAAAAAAAATTTCCCACTTTATAGGAATGTTATGCACTAGTTTCTGAGTTCCTTTAAATGCAAGATAGGAAGTCCGAGATTTCGAAGGCCAGAGACCACGTGGCTTGGTATGAAGAGAGCTACACAAAGAGCAATGTATTTTACAGGATGAAGAATTATATTTTTTTAAACTGGACCAAGTGGGGCATGCCTGTAATCCCAGCACTCAGGAGGCTGAGGCAAGAGGATTGCCAAGAGTTTGAGTCCCCTAGGGGTTGTACAGCCAGCTTGAGGCCAGCCTGAAATACCTAGTGAGACCCTGTGTCAAAAAAAAAAAAAAAAAATCCTCTCAGTTAATTTCTATTTTGGCAAATCCATGGAAAAATTCTTCTCATCGTATTCCCCCATAATTTCTGGTTCCTGAGGTTGTGTCTAGACACTGTACCAGCATATCCATCAATACTTTCTCATTAAAGCAATACAGTAAAACAAAAAGCTGCCTACTAACAAAGCCAGAGACAAAGTCATTACGGCTGTACACAGCTTTGTTTGGTAACAGGATTCTATATTTGTAGTTTAGTAATGTTCAGAAAATGCCTCAGGATACCTTGAAATTGCTACATAGTAGGGAAATAGGACAAAAATACCAAGCTACAAACCTTAGGTTCTGAATTGAGCCTTGCAACACTTCAGCTCCAGTTGTTTGAAGTAAACAGTAACCCCTTGAAACCCTGCCAAGTCTGTGAACTGGGGACGGGGACAGCACCTGGCCCAAGGACCAGGCTTCAGCCCAAGTCTGACACTCTGGAGAACCAGGACCCTCTCTCAGTAAGGCCGATTCTATTTTCACTTTCATTTAAGCAACTAGATTCTTTTCTTTGAGTCTTTTAAATATTATTTACTGAATAACACATGCTAATGTTTATTAAAAATTCCTTTAAGAAAGCCTAGTTACGTCTAAAGTACTCTCTGGAGAAACATAACTACACAGGAAACATTTTCATAGAAGTTAATGAGGACATGAGACTTTTCCTGACATATTGGAAACAGCTTTTGTTTGTCCTTCTGCTTCCTTGCCATTTCCTGTGCTACTGAACAGGGTAACCCTCGGGTTGGAGACCGCCTTCTTCCCACTATTCCTTCCCACCGTTCCAATGTTGGCTTAGAGCACTAGCATTCTCTCATCCCACCAACTGCTATACGTAATATACTTAGAGACACTTCACAATATTTCATAAACAATACTTACATAATTAATTTCATAAGCCACATGAATGACTTTAACATCACTGTGCTCACAAATGAACTCACTTTTGGAGCTATTCCGAAGTCTAACTTTGAAGGTACTGGAAGCAAGCTGGCTACCTGCACTGTGAAATTTCAGTTGCTCAAATCTTTTACCCCCAGTTCACATCACTAACAAAATAACATCACAGCGTACAGTGCTAATTTTGATGCGTACACGAAGAAGCGACTTTCATGTCTGAGTGAACAGCTCTGCTGAGTTCTTTCTAATTTGACTATCAGCTTGAGGAAACGTCACAGCGCGTGCTCATGCGTCCTACTCACCAGATCTGGCGTGTGTGCTTCTGGCCTTTCCCGTATGTGAAAGTGGCCCTGAAAGGCCAATGACACCCTGCATCAATTAAGGACACAGGGCCACCCAGGATACAGCAACTAACAATCAGAAGTCAACTTAGAGCACTTACAGAACGGCTTCGCAAAGTCACGAGAGTGGTGGAAAGAGGGTGTCAGAAAGAGAAGGGGACCCACGAGAGGAATTAATGCCAGCGTGTCTTGTAGAGGAATAACTTTGTTAGCAAATTTAAACATTCTCTGTATTTTTGTCACACTGTGGTAAGCTAACCAAGTGCTAGAAAAGTAACAGAGAGGAGCTAGGTCCCGATACCGGGTTGGTCACTTTCCCAGCGGGTCCTTGCAGCAGGTAGGAGTCTCTTTGCCTCCCGAGCCCTCTCCACATGTCCCTCCCTATGTCCACTCCTATGCCACAGTACCAGGCAGCATGAGGTCATTGTCAGAGGCTTAGCAAACAGCAGTGCCACATGCTTTAACTTCCAAATCTGTGAGTCAAAGCAAACCTCTTGGTCTATAAGTTACTTGGACTCCAGGATTCTACTATACTGAAAACAGAGGAAGGCAAGCGGTCAATTTATAAAGCTGAGCACCCTTTGCTGTTATAAAAAGCAAATACAAGCATCCAATTCCACAAAGACAATCACCTGATACCACAAAATAATTATTTGAAGATAAATCAGACATGAAAACTCCAAAAATACACAATTGCCCTTAAGTCTTTCTCAGCACACCAGCTTTTTATCATAAAAATAATAAAAAAATAATAGTTTAATAGGATAAAACACAGTCAGGGCCACTGCACTTAGATACACTGCACTGAGTCCTTCTTGAGAACCCCATCTCATCATTGTCAGGACTGAAAGGCTGTGCGCACACCAGCTTATTGCACCAGCTGGCAAGTGCAGTCAAGAGATGGGAGAAGACAAAGAAGGCTGGCTCTTGAGAAAACCTGTTAAGATGAAAACAAGGCTTCTTCAGAATTGATGATGCATGAGTCAGCCAAGTTGAGTCATGGACTGGCACGCCATCTTATTGTTCTGGCCAGCTGAGCCAGCCACGTTCAGAAAATTCATTAATTTAAGTGTCTTTGTGCCAGAGATGCTCAGGGAGAAAAAGCAGTCCTGGCTCAGGCTCTGGGCATATGCCTTCGGCCAGAAGCAACACAGTGCACGACGTGGGTTCGAAGCCAATGGAGCAAGTATGAGTCGGAGCGAGGAAAGCACACCTTCTGCCAGTTCGTGAAAGCTAGTAAGGGAGAAAGTCATAGAAACACCACT